CACGCTTCCTTCCGTCTGGCCGAAGGACCCCTGAGCAGCATTGATTGCTCCACCTTGGTGGAGGATTGACTGTCAGCTTGCCGTGCTGCACTCTTCCCTCTCAGACCTGGAACCCAGATCTGTCAGATAAATCTATTCCTTCTAGGAAGAGGTCGCCCTTTGTCAAGTTAGCGGGTGAACACCCATTTATCCATCCTGCTCCTGTGCCACAGCCTCCCCTGTCCCTTCTTACCTGTCCTCCCCTTTTCTGCTTGTCACTAAAACCCTAAACCCTAAACCCTCGTTCGTTAGCCATCACCAGCACCCTTTGGATTTTTTGGCAACTCTTTCGCTATAGCCTTGGGTCTCCTCTGCTCGTTTCTAAAATGTCTCGTCGTTGCAGTAGACGTTGGTCTCTCTCGGGGGGGGTCTGGTCTGAATATGCTCTGCCCATCCACAGTTGTCTGTAGCTGGTAGTTCCTGCCTGAGATGAGTTGCGCCAGTCCTTTTCAACAATTGCATTCTTCTCTTTTTTTGTCCTTTCCTCGGGGCAATCCTCTTTTTCAGAGTATCCTTAGGTCATATCCGTTTCGGTCTGTACTGTCCCGTCGTTGTTGTCGTCATATGTCTCCCTCATGGAGGATTCCTCCGATTGTCCTTTGCTCAACCACCGATGTCTGTTGGTGCTGATCCCTCCCTGCAATGGAGTTGTGCCAATCCTTCCAACGGATGCGATCCTCTCGCAGGTCTGCGATTTTGTTGTTTATCAGCCATGTCCTGTTGAAACTCTGTCTCGTCTTCAATCGTTGCTCCTCGTCCTCTGGCCATGACTTTTTGATCTTTCGCCATTTACAAAGGATTTGAGCTTGTATCATCGTCTTCGTCTCCGCCCAGACCTTCTCACGTGAGTTAGCAACTCTTTCGATCGTTCTGCTGCATCTCTCTTTCCATATGACCCACAGTGTCACTTTCCTTATGATCTCAAACCAGATCCTTTGTGTCTTTTGCAGCCGTTCAGGGATGTTAGTCAGTAAGAGATGGGTTGTTCTGGGAAGGGGATCGGAAAAAGGGAATCCCATAGTGCCGAGGCTCTTGTCCAGTAATCTGTCGCTTCCTTACAGCGTACTAAGCAGAGTACTATATCCTCTATTGCCCCTTCTGTGCAGACTGTGCATAGGTCCGAGCTGTTGGGGTCTGAGCCTTTCCGTCTAGTTTGTAGCCACTGGTTTACCGGAAGTGCGGCATAGGTGATTAGCCATTGTAGGCTTCTTATTTTGATCGGCCTAATGGCTTTGAACTTTTTCCACTGGATCTGAGTTAGTTTATCTGCTTCCTGTCCCAGTATGTCCTGCCATCTTTTCTTGATAATGGGGTCTGGGTCTTTAGTTTTGAGTAGTAGCCTGTACCCCAATTTAACTGTGTATTCATGAATTGGGACTTTGGCTTTGATGTTCTTGGTCTTATCCGGTTTCCATATCCATTCCGCCGTGTCGAACTCCAGGTTATGAACCGCCGTGTCGGGTCTAAAGATTGACTTAGGCCATGATCCGATGACTCTTACTTTTCTGAGTAGGAAGAAGTCCATTACTTCTGATTCCACCCCGCTGTTAAGAATTGTCGGCATGTTATTAGCGGACCCAGAGATCGGAAATGAGAGAAATGTGGCCTTCGTGGATGAATTTTGTTGCATGTGGGAGAACTGGAAGGCTCTGGGCGGAGTCGTCTCTTGTATCAAAACTCCCCACTCTCCGGTTTTCCATGGCGTGGCCTCTATCAAGATTGTCTTCCATTCTTGAGGGATGAGATTAAGAATGTATTCAAGGTTTGGTCCCCTTCTGTGACATCCCTTCAATTGAGCACTTATTTCTTGTTCTGTTTTCCATCTATTTCACTCTTCACTCCATAGAGGCCGACTTTCCATACTCCGTTTTTTATCCAGGATAGCCATCTGAGCTCTAGGGGGATGGGATTATTGCTCTCATTCGTTATCCATTGATTTCCAAAGAGTGGTTGCCTCAGCACTTCGTCCTTGGATCTGGGCCTATTAGTCTTAACTGGCATTATACCTCTCCATATCCGCAGTAGTGCTGCCCAGTATGGGGTAGGCGGTCTGCAGCCCTCCTGTCCTTCGTTCCTTTTCCGGTTCTTCCTTCCTGTGGTTACGACCCATTCCTTGTTCATTATCCAGAATGTCCCTGACATGTCTTATGGTGCAGGTACGGGGGCCAGCGATCTAATGTTATCTAGGGCCAAATTGTTCCATGCTGTATCGGGGGTCATCAGAAGTTTGATAATCCACTTGGTCTGCAGTGCTTTTGTTTCTGTTCCAGGGTCTATGATTCCCAATCCTCCCTTCTGGGGACTCCTTGTGACGTAATGCCAGGCAATCTTAGGTATGCCATTCTCTTTATTAGGGTCTCCTGACCATAGATATGCTCTGGCCTTCCGATTCAACTCTTTAATGGAACTGTTTGGGATTGTCCAGATGGACGCTATGTACCACATCATTGAGAACACTGAAGTGTTAAGCACCAGGGCTCGACCGATGAGGGAGGTGAAGGTATTGCCCCATCTCCCCATCTTGTTGATTTGTTTGGCTAATATGCTCTGTCCCATTTGAGGTGCCAGGCCCTCCCTAGTCATGAGTATACCCAAATATCGGGTAGGCGATTCCGGTCTTTCCCAGGTCATGATTGCTTCCTCCCCTTGCAGTTGGAGGGGTTCCTCGTCCGATAACCACCATCCTATTGTTTTTCCCCAATTACTTTTTAATGGTTTGTAAGTTGTAACTTATTTCAATTAAAACCAGGAAAAATAAAAAATAAAAAAAATCCCTTTCTTGCTTAACTTTTTTTCTCCTGTTTTCAACTTCAGTAACTGATAACATTTCTTGAAAAATAGACAGATGCAACAAACAGAGAATTATATACCTGTGGCATAAGGTCTGCAACACCATGACCATTAATTGCCGACAGAAACATAACTGGCACTCCAGACACCTGAAAGACGGGCAGAATATCACGTGTCAGATGTCAGACTCGCACGCATCAAAAAAGAAAAACGAAGAAGCCAAAAGCACCAGAAGTTACAATCATGCAGATTAAAAAAAAAAAAAAAAAAAAAACAATCATGCAGTTAAGAGTAAGTGCGCTGACCACAATAGTAACCATGCACTGTCACTGTGCACAGCAAGTGTGCACAGTCGATGCCACCCTAAGTACGCACTTACTGTGTGTGCACGCCATAAGAAGCTGGGGCGCAGCGCTACCGGGAGCGCTGCACCCCGGTACGGACCGCGGTGGCGGAGTGAGGCGGCGAAGCGGGAGGGCGCCTGGCGTGAACCGGCTTCGCTCTGGCGCGTTCATACGGACGAAGTACTGCATGGCGATGGCGTGACAGAGGCGCTGGTGGGGTGACGAGGTGTTGCAGGGCTGGGGGTCGAGCTTACAACAGCTGCTTGTTAAGCGCTTTGCGCACGCGCGGGGAGCGAGGGTGCTTGGCTATACCGTGTCACAAGTTGACAGGGAGCATAGACTAACTCCCGGGGGTTTTCTGGGAGTTCCGCGTTCATACTCCATTGCTGCTGCGTTTTTGCCCGTGGCATAGAGCCTGTGAGGTGTCGTCTCTGGGGATGCCTGTGGAGTTCAGTGGAGTGAGCCTTGGGTGACCCGCAGTGCGAGTGACGTAGCTACCCGTCATCACCAGCGTTCTCGTTCATCAGCATCAGGGATCGGCCGTAACTCAAAGGAACATGGTGGGGTTTCCTCATCATCATCAGGGCTGTTCGTCATTGCCATCATCATTTTTTCATCATCACTGTTGTCGAGCATGACTCAAAGGAACAATGTAAGGGTTCCGTTATCATCATTAGGGCTGCTCACTGTCGCCACCAATATCATCAGGGTGATGCTCTTCATCATCATTAAGGCGGTAACTGGGGCAGCGAGCAGCTTGTCAGTAATATTGCGTTACTAGTATTGGAAACAAGGTAAGTTGGCTAGCGTGCAAGCACCTCATTCATATTTTACTATTTCAGGGTGCTAGGGCGCTGCCCATCCCTATTATCACCATCATTAGTGCACCACCACAAGGCGCGTAATTAGCAATTCCATCATCTTGATCGTAGTCATCAGTGATCATCGTCATCATTATCATCATCGTCATCCTTTACTTTCATCGTGATCTCTCCCATCGGAAGTTGACTCTCGTCAGCAGTATTCATCATCATCATCATCATCATCATTAGAATCATCATCATCATCATCATCATCATCATTGAAATCATAGTCACCAGTCATCATCGTCATCATTTCAACAATCACCCATCAAGGTTACAGCCACGACGAGGAGCCGCGCGCGCTAGAAAACTGCACGCAACAAGGAAAATAGCGCGCGCTCGCTCGACGATTGCTCGCGATTGGGTGCACGCCCTGAGCTGAAAATTGGACCACCGGTGGTCTATGGCGAGGAGCAGAGGTGGTCCAAATTTCAGATCAAATGGTCCAGCGGATTAGGAGATATCGAAGATCTAGGGCGCGCCATGAAATTCGAGTGTGTCGGGCGATGCACTATCA